TGTCCTGTTACGGCCATGGAGGCCGTTCATGAACTCACTGTCTGTCATGTTATGGCCACGGAGGCCGTTCATGAACTCACTGTCTGTCCTGCCACGGCCAAGGAGGCTGTTCATGAACTCACTGTCTGTCCTGCCACGGCCAAGGAGGCCATTCATGAACTCACTGTCTGTCCTCTCATGGCCAAGGAGGCCATTCAAGAACTCTCTACTTGTTCTGTCTCAGGCAAGTGGTCTGTCCATGTCTCTGCACCGCCATGGCCCCCCGCTCTGCCTGCTCCGCCATGGCCGCCCGATCTGCCATGGCCCCCCGATCTGCCTGCTCCGCCATGGCTCCCCACTCTGCCTGTTCCTCTTCACGGGCCTGGCCCTCCGTCCCTCCCCCAGTTCCGCCTCCACTTCACCACCCTCCTGGACTTTTTGGATTTTGTTTGGGCGTCTGGAGCCACCCTTAGAGGGGGATATGTAATGTGGGGTTTGGGTTTTGTTTTTGTGTCATGTTCTCATGTCTTTTATTTTGGAATTATTTCATGCTGTTAGTGTCATGCTTCCCTTGCCCTCTTGTCTTCATGCCATTGGTTCCTCTGTTCTTTGTGTCATGTTCTGATTGGTTGTCTTAGTCATGTGTCTTGTTTCCCATTGGTTTGTTCTTGTCATGTGACCCTCTTTGTCTTATATAAGTAGCCATCATGTTCCCATAGTCTTGGTCGTGTATTGTTGTTGTAACCCGCTGTCGGTGGCCAAGATGGCCGCCACGCCTGAGTCCCCGGCCAAGATGGCCGCCACGCCTGAGTCCCCGGTCAAGATGGCCGCCACGCCGGAGTCCCCGCCCGATCTGCCAGCGCCGCCATGGCTCCCCGCTCTGCCTGTTCCTCTTCACGGGCCTGGCCCTCCGTCCCTCCCCCAGTTCCGCCTCCACTTCACCACCCTCCTGGACTTTTTGGATTTTGTTTGGGCGTCTGGAGCCACCCTTAGAGGGGGATATGTAATGTGGGGTTTGGGTTTTGTTTTTGTGTCATGTTCTCATGTCTTTTATTTTGGAATTATTTCATGCTGTTAGTGTCATGCTTCCCTTGCCCTCTTGTCTTCATGCCATTGGTTCCTCTGTTCTTTGTGTCATGTTCTGATTGGTTGTCTTAGTCATGTGTCTTGTTTCCCATTGGTTTGTTCTTGTCATGTGACCCTCTTTGTCTTATATAAGTAGCCATCATGTTCCCATAGTCTTGGTCGTGTATTGTTGTTGTAACCCGCTGTCGGTGAGTCTAGTCTGTTCATACCTAGTCAAGTCAAATCTGTTCATGTCAAGTCACGGATTATTGTTTGGATCACCTTTATAAATAAACTGAACTTGGGTTCTCACTTACGCTCGCCTTCAGTGGACTAAATCATTACAAACTGTAACTAAAACTAAAATAGATAACTAATACAAATCAAACTACATTAGTTTATCAGTAATCCTAAAAAAAAAAAATCTTACAATGACAATTCATTGTGACAATTTATTATGACAATCTTCAATTGTCCTCTTAAACAGTGCTTGATCTGTGCATATTTCTTTCCTGATTCAGACCGGGTTACATTTTCACTGGAGGAAGTAGTATAATGGATATACTGTATTTAGCTCTATTTTAGCCAGAAGCAAGTTAAAAATGTTTAATGATTTGTTTCTTACAAACATGCAACCTTTGGCTTCACAAGATGTTAACTGATGGGCTTGATTGGTTTGGATTACTTGTGGATGATTGTGATGTTTTTATCAGCTGTTTGGACTCTCATTCTGACGGCACCCATTCACTGCAGAGGATCCATTGGTGAACAAGTGATGTAATGCTACATTTCTTCACATCTGATGAAGAAACAAACTTATCTATGTCTTGGATGGCCTGAGGGTGAGTATATTTTCAGCCAAGATTTATTTTTGCATGAAAAATTCCTTTAAGAATTCACAAAAAAAGTGTGACATTATTTGAACACTACTACCACTAAGAACCATGTTAATTTCAACAAATCGGTTATTATTATGCTCAATGCATCTTTCATTGAAATTCAATGTTTAATTCGCTTTACAGTAATTAAAAAAAAAATTGAACAAATATTGTGTTCTGTCAGGATTAGGCTTTATTTTCTTTATGCAAAATAAAATGTCTTCACCCGCTCACTGTAAGACACTGACTGCAGAAAATACACAGCCGCAGATGCTCATATAGGGCACAAAGACGCACAGTAAAGCAGACACATGCTCAGTGTTACTTACAGAACATGACATAATGGCAACTCTCTCTCTCTCTCTGTTTCTCTCACTCAACGCCGCCTTCTATCCTATATGAGTGTCAAACAAAGATTCTTTCATTTGGAAAGAGGAAGTAAATCTCGCCTCTCTCCACATTCCCCCTAATGAATGGCAGCGATTGCAGATTTATTATCATAAATACCGAACACATTGTTTCAGACCCACGGCGTTCAGCTTATGCTGTTGTGCATTGCTCTTATATGCTGCCTTATGTTTCCCTGTTAGTTAAGAGCATTCAGACTTGAGGTTGAATAACTCTGGCTTTATTTCCGCTGATAAGACAGCTGTGACTCACTCAGTGCTTGGAAAAAGACGGTGGTGTGATGTACGTGAAAAGAACGAGACTGAGAAAGAGACGGACTGAAAATTGGTCCAGGGCGTCAAGATTTTGTTATCATTTACTGGCCTTCATTTCATTCCAATCCCATATTATTTTCTTTTTTCTTCTTGCTTTCTAAACAAGGAAAGTGGAGAGACAAGTGCCGAAAACTGCAAAAAAGCACTATAAAGCTGAAGATCCAATGGTATATAATGCCACTAATGTCAAGTATGGCATAGCATAAAGCACACTTTTTTAAATTGATTGTAAGTGCATATTTGTAAGTGATATTTGTGGCTTGAAAAGACAAACTTCCTTGGCCTAACAGAAACTGATGAGTGTGAATAATAAATGACATCTGCAGGAATAGCTTCTGCAGGTCTTATACAGTAGGCTTTGCGTGTGTGAATGTATGCATGATATCTTCGAAATGATTTCTGAATATTTCATCTACTGTGAATTTGCAAACCCTGGTGAACCTTTGACTGTAGTGCTCATATTGTTTCTATGTTGTTTTAGTCTACTGCCTTGCCAATGCCTATGATGTCACACACAGTCACCTTTTATGATCATATAAGTTATATCTTCTTGCATATTTTTTAGGAATTGAGAATGTGTATTGTGATGGCGCTATAATCACTTACAGAATTGAAAAGTGAGGTAAAACACCTTTAAATTTATATTTCTGATGTTATAGTGCTTGTAGTCATGGCCATGACTTTGTTCAAAATTCTTTGGTAGCTCATTTTTTGTGATCTCAACCTCAAATTTGGAACACAGCTTGTTTTGGCTTAGATTTTTAGCCTTAATAAATGGATCATAAGTATGGATCATAAGACCATAAATATTATTTAGTACTATAAAATCCTCTATAAATACAAAATATTAAATGAAAAACAGGTCCTACTTTATTTTAAGATCCAATTCTCAATATTAACTAACTTTTTCGACAATAAATTCCTAATTTGCTGCTTGGTAATAGTTTGTAAGGTAGTTGTTAAGTTTAGGTATGAGGTACAGGAGAATTAAGGGATCTAAAATATGGTCATGCAGAATAAGGCATTAATACTGTATGTGCTTTATAAGTAAGTACTAAAAACAGCCTAGTAAGTACTAAAAAATAACATGCTAGTAATATAGTGAGAATTGGTCCTTAATATAAAGTGCTACCAAAAAATATAATCAAACTCAAATATAGTACATTCATTTAAAAAATAAGAAAAAAACAAAGAAGTGATTTTGGCAAAAATTAAAAATATATGTTTTATTTTATTTCAGTATGTTTAAGGAATGGAAATGTTTTATGGTTTTATTTTTAATTAATGATAAAAACGCTCACCGGCACTCATAAAAACACATGCACATTCTTAGTTTGATGTCACCTTTCACCCACTTTTGGATTTTTCTGAAATCTTGGCTGGGAATCAGACGTTACACACTGATATTTGTACCACTTTCTAATCCGTCTCTCCTCTCACGGCTCCAGGCTTCTTTGTTGAGGTAGACGGGGTCAAAAGGGTCCACATTGTGAAACTTCAATCTAATGATCTTTACTGGAATGCTGTTTGGCGTTATCTTGAGTTCAACGTCATCAGATTGACTGCTTGCATTTCTTGTTTAGGAACAAGAGGCTTCACTGACACATCGGAGAGGAAGCTGCAGGACAACCTTGGAGAAAGGGACATTGTTTATCATCCCCTCGCTCTTCGTATGTTTCTTTCTGTTTCACTGAGTCAGAATGAGGCTGAAGATGGATGTGAGTCCAGTAGTGGTCGTCATATTCAGGCTGGTGGTTTGGCTGTACTCTCTCATCTCTTACTTGCCGTACCTGTTGCTGAGATCGTCCGACTCGCAGTCGTTCTCCGAGTGCTCACGGAGGGTGAAGGCCCGTTCTGTGAGCGGACACCCTTCGGGACCATACCGGGACATCGGAGCGCTCAGGGTGCTGGCCACATGCCTACAGCCCGGGGTGAGCACACTCGATCGGGTGTTTGAATCGTCCGTATGCCGCTTTCCTCACTTCGACTGCCTGGGAACCAGAGATCTGCTGAGTGAGGAAGATGAAACTCAGGAGGATGGAAGAGTCTTCAAGAAGGTGTGTATCTTCTGTAAGTCCTTGTAAGCCCTTCAAAACTCTCTCAGGTGTGTTAAAGGAGCAGCACTTTTGTCATTTCTTTTCCCCTGATGTCCACTTATATTGTTAGTTAAAGCTTTATCAAAGTTATAGTTTAGTTCTCATGAACATGTTTCAGTCATTGAAAACTTGATCAATTAAGATGCAAAAATACCTTTCTAAAATAATTTAGAAACAACTAGACACAAAATTAAATTTGGGCATATTATAATAAATAAACACAACTGGACAAAAGTTTGGAATAATTCATGGTTTTTTATTTCTGTTTTTTACTGCTCACCAAGGCTGCATTTATTTGATCAAAAGTACAGTAATATTGTGAAATATATTACAATTTAAAATAACTGTTTTCTAGTTGAATATATTTTAAAATATAACTTATTCCTGTGTTACAAATCAGATTTTTCAACAGTCTTCAGTGTCACATGATCCTTCATAAATCATCCTAATATGCTGATGTGCTGCCCAATTATTATCAGTTAGCAATCTTTTGAAAAACTATAACTGTCTTTACTGTCACTTTTGGTGAATTTAAGGCATCCAAATAAATGCAACATTGGTGAGCATAAGGAAACTCTTATAAAAACATAACAAATCTTAATTATTCCAAACTTTTGGCTGGTAGTGTGTATTTAAATATCAAATAATTCATAACAAACATATATTCAAATATTGGACAAAATTATAAGAAACATATATTGAACAAATTACAATGAACATATATTTAAATATTGGACAAATCATAATACAATTATTGAAAATTTGGGCCTAAGGTTAAATAGCCAATGCCATAAATGTGATTTTGAATTATTTGTTTTTGCAGTTTAGTTTTAATAAATATTCTGAGTGGACTAGTAAGGGAGTTTTGTTTTACATTTTTGTGAGAATTAGTCTACGTAATACATCAAACTCAAAAGGGCAGAGAAAATCTTGTTTTCCATGTCATGACCCTTTAAGTCAGCCTGTCTGTAACAAACTGACCTGCAGCATGTGAATGATTTCTCAGTTCTGATGGTAATCCTATTGTCCGGCACTGGAGCAGCTCATATAGTAATAATATTCTGCTGTGATGCTGCTGTTACTCAACTAAAGCTGCCAAACATGTTCCGCTGCTGCTGTTGTGCAACATGAGAAGGGCTTGATTCATCCCAGACAACTGCTGGGTGTTTGTTTCTGCTTGCTGTGTTGATTTTGTGCTAAACATTGTTTCAGAGAGTGCTACATTCTTACACTATCCTGGTTCTACTGTGTTTGAATACTCCACAGCAATGTCTGAAACACAAATCTGACTTCTCTGCACAATTTTATTTTTATCCTGAATGTACAATTTTACAACTTTTTTTTTTTAATTTAAGAGACTGCTTTAATGTCTGTACCTTTAAGATTGTTGTATGTAAATGACTGGATAATCTTTGCATGTAAAAATAACAATATCCTTGCAAATTTTCTGAATACTTAACAGATAGTTGTGTGTGTATATATATATATATAAGGTCTAGAAATGTTGGTATATGCTTAAAATGGGCTGTCGAGGGAGTTAAGATTCAAGATTATTTATCTAGTGCACAATGAGTCAGTGACAGACAGCAGTAAAATACAAGAGATAATAATAATAAAAATAAATATAAAAAATAATAGTGTTAAAAATAATAATTCTATCCTCAGTAATAATAATAATACTTAACATTTGTAAAATTTAAAGTATGTCCACATAGTACATTAATCTTTTTCATATCATGTAAAAAGATTTTATTTGCTATTTTGAAAAGCGTTTGAACTGTTCAATATATAAACTATTTATGTAATATTCAACTTGCATAAAATAAAACAGTAGTGTGTGTAATAGCAAACTGTACAAATATATTCTTCTATATACAGGAGAGAAAAATAATAAGTAATAGTATTAAAATAGTAATAATAATAATAGTTTGCATTTGTTAAATTATTTCTACATAGTATATTAATCTTTCTCATATCATATAAAAATGATTTTTCTTGCTATTTTGAGAAGAGGAACTATCCAATATTCAGCAACTTCACACAGATTTTTAATTGTGAAGGTCAGTATAATTGTTTCATTTTCGTAATTGTATATTTAAAAAAAACTTGGTTTAAGTTATATGTGAAAGTTAAAAATACTTAAATAAAATGGTTCAAAAATGCAGAAAATGATTCCTGTAAGTTCTCCATGAATTGTGACTATATAATGAACCAATAGAAGGAGCTGTTGATCTATAAAATTGTAAAGTCTGATCCAATGAAAGGAAAAAAGTTGATAGAAAGCTCTGAACAGGTGAGCGATGAAGAGCAGCTTAACAGAAAACAAACCGTTTCAAACCCTTTGTGTTTCTCTGTAGGTGATTTTGGGAGAGTATCACTGGATGTCGTATGATCAGGTGTATAAAGAAGTGAGAGCTTTCGGCAGCGGTTTGGCTGCTCTAGGAACGAAACCTCTGAAAAACATCGGCATCTTCTGTGAGACGAGAGCAGAGTGGATCATAGCGGCGCAGGCCTGTTTCATGTACAACTTCCCATGTGAGTCACACATGTACATGAGGGGGAGATAATGACTACATTTTCATTTTTAGCTGGATTATAGGTTTAAAACCTCTTAGGACACCCTAACAACCAAAATAACACCCTAACATTGTGAAAGCTAGTTGGCGTTTTCTACAGAAAATTTTTTGATTTTTAAGCTTCATTCATAAATGAGACCTTTACAGGCCTGTATAAAATGCAACATGGAAGGGAGAAGATCTGTGACGCTGTTGTTATTGAACAGCCACACATGCACTGCACAGGGAAAATCTCTCACTCTCACACTTGTGCAAAACTGCTGCCAGATTTGTTCCATATTTCTGTTTATGACACAGAGGGGCCTAATACAGAGGTTTGTGTGTGTTATGTATGGAGGTCAGATTGTCCTCATTGCACTTCTGTTATATAAATGTCCCCCCCCCCCAATCACCACCTCCTCCTTCTCCTCCTCATCCTCTCTCTCCTCGTCTTTTTTTCCACTAATCCTCCTCTGAAGTGTCTGATAGCGACATGATTTTTCTCAGCTCAGGGGCCTCCCTGAACACACACACACACACTTCCCCCCCCCCAATCACCACCTCCTCCTTCTCCTCCTCATCCTCTCTCTCCTCGTCTTTTTTTCCACTAATCCTCCTCTGAAGTGTCTGATAGCGACATGATTTTTCTCAGCTCAGGGGCCTCCCTGAACACACACACACACTCGGGCGAGTCTCACAAAACCTGTCAGGAACACCCCAGAGTCAAAAGAATATTAGCATAAAGAAAATAAAAGTTTTTTAGGGCTCCTGTGCGCAAGATCAGTATTACAGTAAAAAATGTGTGATTCATTTTCCTGAATGATACAGCAGTTCTTAAATGTGTGTATCTGTTTTTCTCTGTGTATATATATACATTGCTGTGTTTGATACATCGATACGAGGATGTATCGTCACAGAGATTTGACTATACAAGTATCGATACAGCTGGCCCTGATATTGTGGCACATGTGCAGCAGTGGACCGCACTTAATTTGAATACAAGAACAACGTTTAAAATGGAGTAGAAAAGTGCGAGGTTTCTAAAAAATAATTAATAGAGCATAATATATAGGCTACAACAAGGTTTAATCTAGCTGCAGTGGAACACAACTGGGTTGCCTGATATAAAGAGACGTAATCCCCGAAACAGTACTTTCCACTTGCGCAATATGGAAATATCTGCGAAGGGTGTTACTTATCTTTGTCAGCCTCTTTGGATAAACACGCTTGCTTTCTTAAAACACCGGTAAACTTGCAGTTTAGCGATCTCCACTTCAATATTCTATTCTCAGAAAAGTGTAATTCATCAAGTGTTAATTTATGAGAGAGGCTGTGTATGTATGAATTACCACCGTTTTGGCGCGTTTCTCAAATAACAGTGAAGTGTGGCTTTGATACCTTTAGGAACATTGATGTTACCAGCTCCTTGTTGAGAAAGATAATGTAGCTCTTGAGCGATTAAGCTGATAAAATTGTGGGGCTAAAAATTTGTTCCTGAATGTCTGAGTGCGGCCGCAGCGTGATCTGTGTGAGAGACTGGGCGTGTGTGTGTGTGCGCGTGTTAGATACAGAAGACAGCACATTAGTTTAGAACTCTTCTCGTTTTTGTTTTTATTTTTTTAAACGTAGAGAGAGTGTTAATTTGTGCAAAGATAACCTACCAGCAATGTAAATATGATTTTTTTTTAAATATATTAGAATGAGTACATTACAATATAAATTTATTAGAACGAGTACATTATTTATGGGCTTAAAAACAAGATGCAAACAATCTTGTATTGCACCTGGTGGGGAGTGCCCAATGTAAACATGCAACATAAGCCATTACTTATATTGTACTGTGGTAGTTATGGAGGCCCTTCATAATGCAGAGGTCAACTGCCTGCTCTGCCAATAGTTAGAAATGGCACTATAGTAAGCAGTGTTTAATAAACAGCTGTTTTACTCAATTCTGCTGAGGTGAAATTCAGTGCAGTCCTGTATCGTGATCTGTATCGTAGCATGGCCTCTGTATCGTGATACGTATCGTATTGTGACTTTGCTGGTGATACACAGCCCTAACACACACACAGACGTCTGTGTCTCTTTGGCTGACTTCTGCACTCTGGTGTTTGTCAACGTATTTGTTGTCATCAGGCCTAAGTGTGTGTGTTAGAGAGAGTGGCTGTGTTCATATGTTATGTGTTGCAGACATGCATTTTGTCACGTGGTTATGTTAATGTTTATGTCAGATGTGTGTGTGCGTGTGCTCTCACACATACACATTTAAACTTATCATCATGTGTGTGTGTTGGTTTCCGTGGCGATCTCCTCTCTGTTTGTGTCTCACGGCTGAAGTGTCGCGCCCTCAGGCAGTGACGCAGACTGATGATGTCACAGATCGCAGCTCGCTGACCCCCATCTCAGTGAGCCCACGTGTGTGTTTGTGTTTGTATGAGCGAGAAAGGGAAGGCACATGGATTGTTTCATATGTGTTTGTCATATGCAAAACTGTGTGTGCAGCGTGTATATCTATATGAATGTTTATTCATGTGTGAATGATTAGAGTTGTGTACTGTGTGTTTTTGTTTGTGTGTGTGTGTGTGTGTGTTCTTGCTTGTGCTTGTTTGCCCTCGTCCTGAACTTTTCACAGCCATGCGTGCTGTTACTACATTTAACTGAGACGGTTACACAACAGCATCCATGAACATAAAAGAAAAATTGAGTCTTTGAAAAAATCTTTGAATGTATTATGAATTGAATGTGTCCATGTTTATTCCTATATATATATATATATATATATATATATATCCTCCTGAGACCCAGCTATGGAGTTTTTGCCTCTCTAGTGGACATTATATTTGAGTGAATTTCTCTGAGACCTCACACGTCACAGTTTTAAGTCTGGAGTCCTGTACAGAGCACATTCAGGGCTTTCCAGAGATACCAAATGATTGGATGTTTCCCCGAGAAC